CCCCTCGGCGTCCCTGCTGCCACCTGGCGGGTCGGGGGCGTACCTGGCCGTCGACGGGGGTCCGGTCCTGGCAGAGCGGCGCTGTGACCTCCTCCGGCGCACTCTCCACCAGCCCGACTGACACAGGTCACCGGCCACGCTCACTTTAAAACCTGTCACGTGACGTCAGTGCTCCCGCTGGCCGGCGGCAGAGGCCGCGGGCCGCAGCTAAGTGCCCGCCCCGGGTTCCGTTGTGTTGACGTCCAAATCTGGCGACCGTGGATGCCTGGCGCGTACACGCTGACAGAGCGTGAGAGACGGGCGCCGCTCAGAGATGTTAACGGTCCCCGCCAGCTCCGTGCAACGGCCGGTGCGTTTAATCTCGAGAGTTTGTCGCATTGCTTCACAGCCTTTTTAGGTCAATTTTTTCTTGGGTGGAGTGGAACGAAGCATGGATCAATCGATGGGTCAAATTATGACTTCACCCGAACCAAACAGCCAAGCTCAATTAGCGAAAGCCACGCGTTTTTGTTTCCCTTATTGTGAAAGAGGCCATACAAAAGGCTGATGGGTCGGGGAAAGTGTTATCACAGTGACTGAATTCGGTCTTCTCAAATAGAATCCTATCCCATCATCACATTTTCAGTATCTCGCTCGTGCCTGAACCGAGTGAATGGAATCACTGTCCCTGTTTTGTCTACTACAGTACAAATACGCTCGGCTCCGGGCATATTATGCATGACAACGCGTGTTGCTCATACGGCTCAGGGCAGTGCTTAACAGCATAGCCTACCAGCTACCAATGGTTACCCAAACGCATACCCTCGTTATCAAATGGAGCATATCTGGCGATTTTGGGTGATCTTTTTATTATTAGGGGGCCCTTTGCCAACCTTGTGCCCCCGTTTGCCAAGGCTCTGGCTGTGGGACTGGTCACCACCACCTGCTGGTTATTGGTACCAGCACCAACCTGTTGGTGATGCCTTAACGGTTATCGCACTTGACAAAGACATTGCTTTGCTTTCTTGAAATCCCCTTTTGCGCCCCTCGTACTTCCCCGGTCGGGAACGCCCGGCTTATTACCGCTCGCACAGAGCGCTCGCTCGACGCCGGACATCGGTTTCGACGAGCGCTTGGCTCGATAAACACTCGCCGTATTGGCGCTGTTGAGAGCTGAGTTAAATAAGTGTGGCAAAGCTAATGAAACCAGTTTCTTTCAAACAAGTATAGAAAACTCAGAAAGTGTGTTTTGGAAGTAATGGCTGCGGATGCTGCATGCTCGGCGCATTTGACCTGTTCTCTCTTAGGTTGGAGGATAACTTGCAACTGTACCAAAACTATACCCGCTTAGCATCCAGTCATCTGGGCTTAAGTTGTCGCGTTGTGCACTTAATTCAACAATTCATTAGTTTATTATTCGACGTCTACATGCAGGCAACTGGCTCGTATGCCGCTGTTCTGCAAGGGCTTTCACATTGGTTGGCTAACTGTGCAAATCGGAATTGGCTGCAACCTAGAATGACTCCGTTACAGCCAGATAACCATGACCCAGGCGGCAATATTGACCATTGACGGAAAACGCTCCCCCCGAACCAAGAAGGCGCGCATTACAGACGATAGTCATATTGTTCTTACGTGTGACGTAAAAACGCGGCGCGCCTATTTGTGCAAAGGCACACAGGCATCCAGCTTACCACGGCAATCACCGAACAGATGACATGGTTACCTGCTTTTTGGTACGAAGTGACTCACTCGCTGTGAATCGGGCTTCTATGCAGTTGGCAATGCGCTCACTCGCTGGTAGCCGCAGGGCGGCCTTGGTGAGGGCGATGTCGGACGCAGGCCTCCCCCCCCCCCCCCCCCAACACGTTAGCCAACATTAAGTTACACAGGGAGACACTGGAACCTTCTAGGACACGTTCGTCCATCTTGATATTTATTGTTAGTTTACGGGCAATATTGATAGTAATCATAGCAGCATGCTTCTGCGACAAACTTTAAGAGTAAGCAGGCCAAACTGGTGATCACATATACACCTAGCGACGGACACTCTCCACAGTTTTGCAACTCGAGCTTTGTAGTCCTGATGCTCACTCAGATTCGGAACCAGACCTGTGTCGCAACACTGCTGATGCGAGATAGATCCGCGTTGAAACATTTAGACCCACCGCGCGCGCGGTGCGCCGCACTTCCGTCCTCTAATCCGACAGAGTACGGAACAGCTGTATGGCGCTGCCGGCGCCAGCCATTGCGCAGTGGAGCTCGACGCCCCTGCGTCGCGCCACTCACGGGCTTGGTCGCCTCTGCGGGGCACCTGGGCAGCGGCGCGCCACGCAGCCAGAGTTGCAATAAAACCCGGCCGATGGCCCTGCCGGCGCGGCTAGCACCGGGCGCCAATTTCGGGCTCAGGCGTACACGGCCAGGTGCTCGTCAGAGGCGACCCGCCTTTCAATTACGTTCGCCGCGGCGGTGTGATCTCGAAGAAAGGTCAGCCCCGCCGCCGTCGCTCGCGAGGACAATGCGTCGTCGTCCAGTCAGCGCCGGCGGGTTTATGGTCTCACGGCCGGCCTGCGGCGGCCACTGGGTTTATGCGGTCCCAGCGGCCGGTGAGAGAAGAGTCAAGAATCGTGGTCCACGGCACAACACTCCCCCCCCCCCTCCCCTCCCCTACCCTCCCTCACCTACCCTCCAGCGTCAGCCTGCCTGCAAAGCGGACAGCGGAGTACAGCGTGCGCCAGCTGCTCGCGAACGAATTTTGCTGGCTGTGTATGGGCGCCTTGAGAGGGAGGGGGGGGGGGGGGGGGGGGCGGTCGCCGCAGACACAATTCGCTCTGCCCGCAGAGGTGCGATACCAGGCAGCGTTAAAAAGCGTTTGCAGATAACGCACCAGTCCCACCTCTGTACGTGCGTGCTCTAGGCATAATGTATTGAGACATATACACTTACTCTTCGCTTTACAGCTATGTCCAAACTGAGCTGCAAACACCATCTAAGCCATCCTGCAGCCGTGCCTACGGGTGCAGTAAAACTAACCTCTGACACCCAGCCAAGCGAGCGCCGCCGACCTGGGCTCGAAACTCTTCCTCCGGCCGCCTCGCCTGAACGCCTCGCCTCGCCCGCTGCACGCGTCGAGGCGTTCGGCTGCACATGGCAGGGCTGTGGCAGGTCACGCCGCCCCGAGCCGACATGCACACCGCGCTTCTCGGGACGCAGTCATTGCGTCCAGTGCCAGGTTCGGGGTGTGCGTGGAGTCACGGAGTCAACGTTACCATGTCGCGAGCGTGGCCTGTGCCGATGTCGTCTGCATGAGTACCGGCCAGTCGTACCGCGTGTTCACTCGAAATTTTGGTAACGACGGGTAATGAGATGACTTACTCATTACTGAGTGTTAGCTGCAGGCCCCGTGTCAGTTGCGGCGAACAGCTTCCGTGAAAGTGAGGCTGCATAATAAGGTCGGTGCTCCAGGGCCTCACTGTTTCATGAGTTTGAATTTTGATAGTTCAGGTATGTTGCATAATATATTTCAAGTGATGAACTTGTGATTGTGATTCAAGTGAACTGCGTGCGAAGCATTATCATTCCATCAGCTTTCCCGGAAAGCGTGCCGCTCAACCCTTTCCAACATCGACGTTTAGAAAAGCAGCTCACACGGCGCTTTGGCGTTCACAAATGGGCTTTGCACGCCTGGACGCGTGGCTCACGCTCTCTACACCCGCACGGACCGAACGGCGGACTAAAGTCGTCTGGCCGTGTCCCATCCGGATCCGGTCCGTCTGCCGGCGCGCCTGCCGGTGGGACAGACCCCTGAATCAGACGGCCCGCCTGCCGCGCTGGGACGTCTCACGCGGGGCAACCCTGACCCGCTTGCCGCCGACAGCCGGCTGTGGTGAAATACGCCCTCGCGCGGGACTGCCCTGCCGCTTGTGCCCGAGCGATGCGGCGGCGTCCGTGTTGTTACGGAGCGGCATCCGGCCCTGCAGCGTCATTCCCCAGCCGGAGAGCCTCCTGCACGCTCCACTGAGGGCAGCCGGGCTCGTTATCGCTCCCAGCATTTAGAGCATGCGACGCCGGCGGAACTACGTTGAGACGGCTGGCTGTAAATCACAAGCGGTACGGTCACGTCTCAGCAAAAGCTCAGGGCTCAGATGCGAAAGCTTCACTTGAGGATTAGTAATCGTTCTATTGTAAGCAACAGCGATGGAAAATGACCTACCACCCGGAAAGTGGCGCATGACGATAGCCATCGATCAAAACGAATGCACAAGGCCACCCAACTGCGCAAAGCGTTCCCATCACAGCAGTTCTTTTCATAGCGTGTCTATGCTCAACTGAAAGCACGCAATCTATCAGGCCCAACAGACGTTATCTTGAACACCGGCGATCGCGTTCGTTGCAAGTTATAAAATGCAGCCAAGCGGAGCGACATTGGCTGTCGGCGTGCGACGTGAGATTGGCCAAGGGTGCATTGATTTACGTTGTTACAGATCCCGCATTTCATGGTCCTTCTTATCTTCATTTCCAAGTTCATCGGAACCCAAGGCTATCATTATTGCCATTCAAACTTGCTTTTCCCCGACCTGCTTCCAGTCCCGATATCCCACCAAAGCTGCGTGCTCATGCGACGCCAAACTCTTACATGGTCGGGCGATGTAAGAGTTTGGCTTACATACACACAATGCCCCCGAGCACCGACGTAACTGAATCCTGGCGCACTCGGCGCCGGGTGACTCTGATCGTCATCCATAGCGATGCGTTGGCAGTTGGTCGATGCGTATCTCGACCCACCAGATGGGAGCATGGCAACAGGTCAGGATGGCAACTAGATCTGTGTTCAGGGCCCCTAGTCATATGCCGCCTACGCCGTGCACACGCAAATGTTGATTGGCGGGAGAGCGGCGCGGGATTTGTCGACACGGAGGTGCCTACGCGAATGCGCACGCTTAGGAGCAACGCAATGCATTGTTATTCTCCGCTCTTGCCACCATCAAACGCCTTGAAACATACTTGAGAATTTAGTAAACGTGCTCATTTTCTTTTTGTGTTTATTTTGCTTTGCCAGTGCGGGCTGTTGCATGGCTCATTCCACACGCTGCTACGTGATAATCACTGCACTTGAGCCACAGTTGTGAAGACTGGAAAAAGGTGAGGGATATTTACCAATATGATCATTATGTTCTACTCAAGATATCATGGCTGGTTCTCCCAAAATTCCATAATTCTCGTATGCGACAATTATTATCGAACAACGCCATGCGCACCAGCCATTGAAACAGCTGGTCAAAAATAGCAATCATACGTTGCCATTTGACATCGACATCAACCAGTGACTGTATCCAATCAGCCAATCAATATGATATATTTCAATCCAATCTTATCAGCATATGCTTGTGTTGTGTTTTTTTGTGCTTATGTTTGCCGGTGGGGCAAATCCAAAAATGATTGTCTGAAACGTTTTACTGCCTAAAAGTTATAAAACGTTCTAAGCAAAAGGTAAATAAGGTCAGTGATTTGTTTACCTCCATAAGGTCATGGTAACCGAACACCTACGAGGCGGTTCCTATTTTGGCATTAGAATAAACGTCAAGGATTGCAGTAGGCGTCAGGTTTCCCAAAGTAAAACGTTGGCGTGGGTCATTTTAGGGCAGTGACCTACTCTGACATTTAAGAAGTTCATGGAGCGTGTCCGTTGCGGTTCCCGTCATTAATAAATTCGAAGTGAGCACCAGAAACTTCCCCATAAAATCAAGCTCTCGAGTAAAAAAGGCTAGTTTTGAACTCGGTCTGACCTTCACACCTGACCTTAGGTCAATGGGAATGGTTGTGAATTCAATTGGTTTATTGCATAAGAAACTATCTCAAATATGTATGGCTTGTCAAACACTTCACTGTTGCGTCACATTGAACGATTTGATCTGTAACAGTCCAAGTGACCTCACAACGTGCATCCATTTTTATACCAAATATCCACTATTCAATTTTCTGCAAGTATGCAAAGTTTGACGCGGCTTTGCGCCGCCGTTCAAAAATAATTATAAACAAGCTTTCGGGGAGGGCTCAGTTTGACCCTTACTGAGCGCGCGTTAACGATCCGTGAAGAGTGTTAACAATGTGGGATACTCCCTTTAAGACGTTGGCAAGCTGGTTGTACATACAACAGCAAGGTTGCAGCATCAATGAATGCAAGCGCTCACGGAAGCTGGGACGGGCGACCTCGTAAAGGGAATATTCCACATGTCAGAATATTGAAACAAGCATCAGGTATGATACAGTAAGATCGTTTACAACCATTGGTGTACTTTTAAGTGGAAAAGACTGCTCTAGACAACACAATTGCTCTGTTAAATAAATATTATTATTAATACGTCACTGATTGATTACGTCATCGTACCTTGCACAGCACTGATCGAGAACCAACAGTCGGCCGTTATATCTGGAAATCGTGCTCACAAACGCCATATATTAACGACTCCATAATCATATTTTTCTTGGCCTTGGTCGCCTCACAGCCGATGGGATGACAGGTTGTGAATCACGTTATCATGATGCCATGAATACCTGGGTGACCATGGAATAGTATGCAATAAAAAGTCTGCACACCCTCGAGGGCGTATAGCTCAGAAACTAGAGGGGTTTAGGTCTCAAGAAGAAGAGAACTGTGAACTACACCGAATTATCTTCAAGGTGGCTATTTCAGACAAAAACTCCATACAAATGTGGAACACTCCCTTTAAATAGTTGCCGGTGGATAAGTCAGTAAAGCGTATGCGCAAAAACAGAACAAGAACTAAACAGAGCCGGAATATAATGTGGCATGCCCGGCGCGCGCCCAGCACGTGAGTACTGTCCACATGCCTTGAAAACTGGCCACATAGCAGCAGTCCCATCATACTCTTCCACCCCACGTACAATGCACGCGGCCCTCGCCCAGACCCTCAGGCGTCTGCAGATTGCGACTTGAAAAAGACGATACGATTTCCACCCCGCAGTGGCATTGATGGCTCTACGCATCGAGCTGGAATGATCGGCTTCTCCCGTAACCGTTTTATAATCGCGATGACGGCCACGCGCTGACGTTCGCTGAAGGATCGACGATCTCGACGATCTGATTCTTTTCTTGTTCATTGAATCTTTGCTTTTCCGCGTCCAGCCGTGTTGAGATAAGCGCTTAAGCTGTTCCATAGTCAAGGGTGTTTTGCGGGGAGGAGGAAGCGGACAGCGCATCGTCATGCTAGCCGCTGAGTGTTACATCTGACGCAAGCTCGCTCTCCTGTCCTGAAGCCTCGCCGCAGCGTGGAGTGACTCCCAGCGTCCCAATAAACCGGCCGCCACCGACGTCACGACCGGTGACGACGCCGGACCGCCACGGAGCCGAAGCGGGCCCGCCGCCGTCTCTATCCCACGCCTTTCCAATATCGGCAGCCGCGCCCGGCCGCACTTATGGCGGAGTGATAGTGTTCCGTCACTGTCCTACCGCGGGGCGTGGCAGCACCCTGGCCTCGCGCTCGACTCCGCTCCTTCCCGTGCGACCTTTGCCTGGCGCGCGCTCTGCGGTCCGTTGCTCAGATTTCGCTCATCTCGCAGCCCCTTGCTCAACTGTCGTACGACATGTGGCGTCCAAACATTCCCCTCGGCTGAGCGCTGTGACACTAAGCTGTTTGCCGCCGCAGAGATTAGACAGGCGATCTGAAAACAGATTAGTCGACAAATTCGGCATGGGATGTTTCGCTGAATGTGGCCACCTAGTCCTGCGATGCCAGTACGTAATTATTAAATTCGAACAAGACCCAACGCCATTCGACGGCACAGGTCAATCTTATTTCTGAATGGTATAGTTGACCTCTCTCACATGATTGATAACGTAACAAAGATATCAAAATATATTGCAAATTACAACAAACAAAAAAATCGAGAAGTAACACAGGCCACCGTGAGACCCGCAATGTCGTTCTTAGGGTCTTCTAATCGGCGCTAAACGAAAGAGGGCATTCGTGCGGTTCAGAATCCTAAGAGCAGTGCTTGCATAGATCAAGGGTCAATATCAATCTAGGTCACGGTCATGTTAAGTGAAGGTCATGTCACCTTATTGGACGGCCTTATCATTGCTGCTATATCGGGCAGCATAACCTTACGCATACGCATACGAACAGCATACGCGTCGGCAATTGACACAGTCGGGAGACCGGAGACGTCTTTCTTTCGGTCTCTGATCTACATGTATATAAGTCTCAAGGGGCGCCCAGGCCGCCCGGCCAGAGAATCTGTCACTTCCAGTCTAGAAGCATTCGCAGATCAACAGCTCACCTTTGGTCAGAAACAAGCCGGAACAAAACAGCAATAATCGCTTCCTCGAATGGTAATACACGTGGCTGCGAAAGGTCGTAGCTTACGTTTACGACCAAGGACACGTGTCGGATGAGGACGAGCTATCAATTTTACGCTTCAGCAATGCACATAAGTGTAAGTGCCAGGGTCGCAGCGGACTGGTAATGGCTGTATTGATCCCAGTCACACTGGACGAGGCTTGACAATGCATTTCTGCGAGTTGAGTGGTCTCGGGTTCAAACAGACGTCGTTGAATACTTGAAAACATGAATGAAGACAGTGCATGACAGCAGACAAATGGCATTGGACTGGTTTCATATGACATGCATCCCAAACCATCCTTATGTCTTGCAGCATTACGACGGCGATAAAGCACAGATGAAATTTTATTATCTAAGGTAAGATAACTTATAGGATGAGTATAAGGATGTAGGATGGTCGGATAGCTCCCAATGCGGTATAAGATATCGCGGTTTAAGATATGGAATGCTCGTGTCCATGTTTATCTTCATTTTATTCACAAGCAGTTCCAACGTGTGGTTATTGTTTTGTTCGGAACAATTACACAAGTAGTGTGGACACAATATTAAAGCGTTTACATAAAACCATTGCGTACCCACAATGTTAAATACGAGTTCAATATTTCAGCTGTAAAGCTACGCTAGGTGCAGCCTGAGGAGCGGAAGTGCACAAATTACGGAACTGTGGTCTTTTGTAACAATGCCTTGTCTTTTGAATCATTGATGTAACAATGGCTTACATGATCTTTTAAGATAAATATAGTGTTTTGGTTTGTCGTAGTGAGTGTTATAAACTTGAAACAAGAAATAAAACAAACATTTCGGCGGTGAACAATAACTACGCGATGCAAACAACTAGAGCTTTCCTTTGTCATGATAACCACTTGTAGCCTATGAGCAGGGGAGCTCGTCTCAAAAAAGGTTCATGCCGGCCGGCCAACGGCCCAGCCGGCAACTGATAGTGCTGCCCTGAACAGATCAGCTTACGCTACCGCATTACGACATCCATGACCCTGTGCCCCCTCGTGGCGTAGCTGTCTGGCATGTCTATAAGACACCGCATCACCAGTGCGCGGGAGCCCGTCACGCTGAGCAGTAACGCCGGTACTTAAGACCACACACACACCCCGCGTCACAGAGGCCGGGCCTCGGAGTGTGGGCAGCGACCGGTGGAACGACCTTGTTTTTGCGCGTCGCGCGTGCCTGGCTGTTTGTGTGAGTGATCGGGCGCCGACGGGTCAGCCGCCACAGGCGTCCGCCATGTCGTCAGGAGTGCTGCCGACGCGGCTCTGGCTCGGGACCCGTCCGGCTGTGGCTTCGGCAGCGCTGGGCCAGCTGCCCTCGCATCGAATCAGGAGCTTATCGATCGCGCGTTTTTTAAGCTGCTTTTTGGCCTTTGAATCATAAGAGCACGCGATGCACTCACTATTTTTCAAAATTTTCATCAACATAATTTCGGCTGTCATTCGAAGCGGTTTTTAAAACGTTTACAACCATTTCCGGTTCACTCCAAACCCTTAGTGCCCACGATCCGACGTGTAGTCAATATGAAGCAAGCAACAGACATTTAAGACAAAGGGTGGAGTAGGATGCCTTTCTCACAGGGTTCGCTCAGGTGAATACTTGGTCCGCTATGATCTTCAGAATCCCACAGCTGCCACTCACTATCGCTGCCAAAGGATGCCTCAGTGCCTATTCGGCGTTGTTTGCACCTTCTGCCAAGCGTCTGGGCCGCGGTGACGTCATCATGGCTGCCTGGAAAGAGCCGCACCGCGTACTCCAAGGCTGGCCATCGTCCAGCTGTTCTTGGGATGACGTAGGCTGTTCGTCTGACAATAACGCTGTAAACTGTGTGTCGTTAAAGATAAAGGGACAGTAATTCAATCTGCTCCACCTTTTTTGGCCTTAGGTTTGGTAGGAATGTCACGAACAAGGAAGTGCTGAGATCGACCGCAAGAAGCTATTGGCGGATGCGTGGATAACTGGCAGCAGTTGCCTTCGAATATATCATGAGCACTATGTTTTGCCTAGGATCGCCAATGTCAGTCGTCGGTCCATGCAGTGTTCAGATGAACGTGCTTCCAGAATTCAGACCACTCCTTCTGGTGTGGAACACGAGTGGGTGGCGGCCCGGTGTTCTCTGTGTGCGCGTGACCACGCTCAGTTAGATACACAGTGCCATTCTGCGCTGCAGCGACCGATGGAGGGCCATGTACAAAGTGCCAATCTAGTTATCACCCCGTGGCGTAAACTGAAACCGCGCCGTTCTCACACCATGGCACCGCTTTCATTGCCCACCCCGCCAATAGCTAGCAACCGGATGAAGCCACCCCGAGCCGTGCACGAAATACAATCATTATGCATATGGGGAGCGTCGAGTTTGCATCAGAAAGCTCACATTTCCCACCGAGCGACCGCCCGCGACGTGGCCCCAGCCGTGGGAGCGTTGTTACAGGTGCAGCTGCAGGGGCACATGACGCGGTGTCCCAGCCGACTCCTCGCCACTGGCCGCAGACAATCGTGGACTATCCCAACACGCGACGACGTGCGTGGCGCACTCATTAACTTCTTCTTGTCTGGAGCGGCAGGACACACTTGACCAAGGCCTTGCGGTGAACGCTGCGGAATGTGGAACGTTGGGAGTTACAGGTACTGTGCCGCACTTGTGATCAGAGAGCCAGCGGCTACCTGCTGTGCACATGTGCACTGCAGAGAACACAAATATTTGCATTGCTCACTGTGCTGGGAACCGCGTCCACCGTTTTTTGTTTTTGCCGATGCTGCAAGCTTGCCTTTCGGACTACAAATAGTTTAACGATGAGCTGCTAGTTTTCTCATCATTGGTGATGATATGCTGCGTTTCCTGACGCTAGTTCGGTTCTTTTCACGAGCATTTTGCTGGATGGTGCGAAATTCTCCTTTACCACTAAATCAATTTCAGCTATACGTTCTAGATACTGCAATACTGGTATCATGCGTCACTGGTACGCCGAGGTTTCAACATGCAAATGGCCTTAATCGTTTTCAGGATGTTTTGCGTGGCCGATCAAAGGCAAGGCATGCGCGTACTTGTCACGATTAACATACACGCTCTGAAGCACGGAGTGCATCGCTGTGCACGCTACAGGCTCCTGTCGTCAATCGACATTGTCCAGACATTGTTGGATCTATCACGAAATGACGCCAAATGCAGTTTGAGGTTAAAGAGAAGCAAAGGCATCTTTGTATCTTACCTCACTGTACCGGCTGCAGCAAAGCCATTTACAAGCACGTTCATTAGGTGTGTATCACATTTTTTAATTGAACTTACCGTACATAATTCAAGACATGTCGAAGTGTTCGCAATCGTCTTAAATGCTTTAGCGAGGGAAATCGTTCATAAAAACGGCCAACCTAATAAATAACCTCGGACGCATGCTAATGTCACACTTGTGACGCAATAATTACATTAAAGCTCCGCTGCAGCCAAGATCCACCTGTTTACTGGCACTGCATCGCAGAATCCGATACAACGCACCTGTGGTAGAACAAATACATGCTCCACGTTCTAACGCCAGCACCGGCCCATAAGAAAAGCTCCCGCTCCATTGCCACGGGGCTAAAGCATTCCCGCTTGCTGACGTTCGGCGCGCACAGGATGCCATGCCGCAGCACGACCGTCGCTTCGATGTCCAAGCGAGACAGATCACCGGTGCAGCTGACGCCGTCAAGTCCACGCCGCGCCACTGTTTGTCTCGCTGCGCGGTCACCAGCGCGCCCTCGGTAGGTCACGTGATGGCCGGTCGCGCGCAGCCGGTGTTGCCAGGCGTCAGCTGGGGCGACGCTGCCAGATTGCAGGCGGCGGAGGAGAGGACGCTGCCAGACTGCAGGCGGCAGGGGAGGGGACGCTGCCAGACTGCAGGCGGCGGGGGCGGGAGCTGCCAGACTGCAGGCGGAGGAGGCGGGAGCTGCCAGACTGCAGGCGGCGTGAGCGGGCACGGCCAGACTGCAGGCGAAGGGGGTGGGAGAGGCCAGACTGCGGGCGGAGGGGGCGGGCGCTGCCAGACTACGGGCGGAGGAGGCGGGAGCTGCCAGACTGCAGGCGGCGTGAGCGGGCACGGCCAGACTGCAGGTGGTGGGGGCGGGCGTTGTTGGATCGTGCGGTCCTCGCCACGGACGGCTGCGCGCCATCGGTATGCGACGGCGAAGGGCGATAAGGCTTGGAGCAGCGCAGCGTATCTGACCTCCAGTGACACGGGAGCGAGGTTGCGATGCTCGGCCCCCGAGGAATAATGACTCGAGGTGAGCGAGCGGGCAGTTCTGACCGCGTCAAGCACTGCAACCTTGACAGGTATCAATAAAAATATCCATCACCATCCATCGAAACACATGAAAACAAGGGATATAGCTGCTGAATGTGCAGTAAGCGCTGGTTGAGCTAGGTGGTAAAAAGAAAATATTGTGGTCGGATGATGTTAAAGCTCGCTGATACACATGGAGCTAACTCGGGACAAATTAACTCACATCACGTTGGAAAATTTATCGAACTCAAGACAAGTCGTCAGCGCTGACTGGCGCGTGTGGAAAACAGCGTGTGGCAGTGGACGAAATGGCGCCCACACACCGGGGCATTGCCTTGCTGACATCGAGTTCAGTGAAGTTGCTGAGGATATACCACCCTTTTATGGTAGCTCATGCATACGTGCCCGCCATTTACAAACATTGTGTCTTCCGCTCTCCGCGCGGCGGTCCCTGGAGCGCTTCGGTGCGTCGTCAACAACCTTAATTACACCTGTCATTTGTATAATTAAACTCGAGCCGCGTCGGGGGTGGCGCTTGGGAGCGCAGATTGGATTCAGGTTTCCCGCCGGTGTCCATTAAAAGCTCGGGTATCGATGGAAACTGCTCACCGCAGTGCATCCACACCACACCCACACCCACGCGCATGCACACGCATACACACACGCACGCACGCACGCACGCACGCATGCACGCATGCACGCACGCAAGCAAATACGCACTCACGCACGCACGCACACACACACGCACGCACGCACGTGGACCCCCCCCCCCCACACACAAATATATGGATATATATATATATATATATATATATATATATACATAACTTTCTGAGCCCCAGAATACATCAGAATAGGCATAATATCGTAGCACATTGAAACAATTATATGATGCGGTCACTGATTCCCAATGGCTATCTTATCGGACATAAATCTTCCCCGAGCCAACGCATCTGGCTGCAGCGTTTCGTGTATGTGTGTCATTGGGGCTTTACGACGCACTCAGCTGCTGAGCCTATATGGCGTCGCCTGCCTCTCACCCTGGCAGGAAGGGCGGGTACCGCGGGGAATCGAACCCCGTACCTCTGGTTTCCCAGACGCGCAGTGGTTGACGCAGACGCGTTAACCACTACACTACCGGCACCCCGTCTGCAGCGTTTCAAAAGCCGACAGGTGAGAACTTTGTGTTAAACTTGGTTTACTTTCCTCCGCAGATACTAA